GCCGGCAAGTGTTATTATGTCGAGGTCTTTGCTGACAAGTGTTATTATGGCGAGGTCTTTACCAGAAAGTGTTATTATGTTGAGGTCTTTGTCGGCAAGTGTTATTATGTCAAGGTCTTTGTCGGCGAGCCTTATTATGCTGAGGTCTCTGCTAGCGAGTGTTATGAGCCGATGAAAAATGGTTTCGGCTAGTTATGATCTTTGTGACTTGATACACTTGATGCTTATGCATGCCTTACTTGTGAATTGTAATTGATGTGCTTGTTATGTGTGATTGAACTTCTTCTCATTGATATTGACTTATTTGATTTGTTGATTATTGAAATGTGAAGATCAAACTGTGAATATTGAGCCTATGAGTCGTGTATTGTAGAATTTCTAGGTTGGATTGATTTCTGTGCAGGTGTAGTTTGAGGAGGTTCGGTTGGAGTGAAAGGGGTATTCGTTTTCTAGCTAGTTGCTTTGTTTAGTAGGTTGCTTGCTAGGTACCGTGTTGTTGGTACTCACCTTTGTTTCTACACTTGTGTAGGTTCCGAGCCTGGACCCGTGTGATGTCTCTTGAGGCTCGTCAAGGACTTGAAGAGGTAGATGCTTGCCATTCGGCGGACCCTCTTTATCCTGTCCTTACACTTTGTTCTATTTGAGAAATAAAGTTTGACACTTGTATTTATTTCTTAATTCCGCACTTATGTATTTAGTGGCTTGTACACGTGACAATCAGATTTTGAAGGTTTTAAATAGAAGAATAAGTTTTCCATTTTATCTTGTTCTTGTTTTACTGTTTTTCGCTTTTATCGTTTTCGGTGAATTGAAATTGACTTGTCTTGATAGGAAAAGACAAATGTCATCCCATCTTTGGGTCATGACAATTTGAAATTTTAATAATAAACACTAATTTGAAATAAAATAAACGTTTCTAGAGTAAGATTATAGCCAGACTAGTGAAAGAAAAACAAAAATGAAGATCAACAAGAATTGCAATGTGCAATCTTTCATTTTTAATCATAATTTTTTGTTCAAAATACATAACGAAATCACCGTTATTATATGGCTATAATATTTTACCACACTCTTCAATATATCCTAAATTCTAATATAAATATCAAATATCGAAAAAAACAAAAGAAAAAACAGATAGAGGGGATGAATATGTAACATTGATGTGGACCTTTATATATACTCCTATGTATAAAAATAATAATAATTGAGGTGTACTCTATATAGTACTCTTCATTGTAAACAAAACTGAAAAGCAGTAGTTAAAAAGAAACAGACAATTGACAAGAGCAAAAACGCGTGGGTCCCACACAAAAAATCATCTCATCGCGTAGACTTATTGGCGCACGGTCGCACTAGAGCGGGTTCCACTTACCTGCAAAATCTGAATTTTCAGGTGCACCCATAATAATCTCGTAGATTATCGAGAACATGATCCTAAATATAAAAGTCGAAAGTTTTAGAATTAAAAGCTACAATAAGTATGTGTTGGTACGAAGGATGATAAGTTTAAATTTATTTTTGCATGTTCGGTTGGTGAGTGAAAAATATTTTTCAATTTTTTTTAAGTATTTAGTTCCAAAAATATTTTTGTTAGATTATCAAGTGCACGGATAATAATGATTTAGATTACCAAGGATGTGAATTTAAATGTTATTTTTTTCGTCTTAATTTATATGAGTTAGTTACATTATGTTCTTCAATATCTTTTTAATATGTGTATATTGGCTTACTAATTCACTTAATATGGAGAAACTGTTTTATTCTTCGATTCAAATATTTTTTGTTATCTTCAACTTTTATAGTTGATATTGTTTTTTTTTTTCCAATATTTTTACTTTATGAACTTGTGGTTTAAATATTTTCTTAAATCGAAGGTCTATCAAGAATATTATTTCTATTTTCATAAGATAGATGTAAGTTTGTAAAAATAACACTCTTTTCATAAATCACTTGTTGAATAATTTTTTCTTTTTTAGTTTGTTGTTGTTGTTATATCGAGTTTTTAATTTTAGACCATTAGATTTTTATTTTCTTAAATTTCATGCTAAGTCAAAGTACGATGAAATCGACGGTGGGTAACGGGGAGGAAGGTGTTGTGTGGGGACCACAGTTCTCAGAAACGGCCAATCTGAAATCCCTGAACAATGACAGGAACGAACTACCCTGATGGCTAATTTTGGCGCCAAACTACTTACTTAACAAACGTACACGAGCTCATATAACAAATTTTACATATCACCAGTGGACCAAATCATATAATAAAAAAATTATATATTATAGTATTTGAATCAATTTGGGTTATCTCGATTAATTTAATGAAATATTTGTCAACTATTATTAATAATAGATATTGAGTTATAATTTGTCCATCATAATTAGAATAGATTAAAAAAAATTGTTTTAGCTCTCATTTGATTGCAGATTTTGAAATTAAAACTTGAAAATTCAGTTTTTGAGTTTGAAATCTCTCTTGAAGACTGTCTAGATAAGTTTTTGAAGCTTGAAAGTTTGATTCAAAATTTATGGCCAAATAGATATTTGAAGATAAATTTTTAAATATTTGATTCAAAAGTTATTATCAAATGCTAGATTAGTATTTTTGTCCGTATTAAAATTTGAACTTAGAAAATTCATAATTTTTCAATTCACTTCATTCATCATTGTCATATAAAACATATAATTTTATTGTTTCAATTAAATAATAAATTAGATGTACATATCCTTGTATTAATTTATACTCTACGTCTTATTTATTTGTTAAGAATATTATTTATATAGTTAAGAATATTATTTTTCATATCATAATTTGTATTTTACCCTTAGGAAACAATCTTATAGGAATTATATTATATGTTTAAGAACTATTAGAAGCAAAAACTATTCTTGGAATATTTTTATAGGTCGTTAGTTTAAGATAAACAATTTTAAAAGTTTCTTACATTTTCAAATTTTTGTGTTTGGTCAAATTAAAACATAAAGAATATAACGGGAGGCATTGAATAATTCACGCGAGGGTAAAATAAAAAATTAATTAATTCTATCTTAATTTTATAAATTGGCAAATAATATGAAATAATTATTTATAATAAGATGAACCACTAATTTGAGACAGAGAGGGTAATAATGTATATTAATTCAAATTCGGTAACTTGAATATGATAAATTACATATTATAATCGATAATACTATAGATTGTATTGTATAAAAATTATTATGATTCACTAGATGCTAATAAATACTTTTCATGTGAGAGTCAAATATAAAAGTTTTAGTAAGATTCTATTCATTTTATCATCTTGTTCGCTACTTATTTATTCATTTGGTGCACAAAATAAGATAAATAAAAATATTTCATAATTGAGATATTTGTATGCGTGACATAGAGGTGTTCAAGATTAGGCCAAAAAAATAATCCTAATCGAAAATAGAATCAAGTAAACATATTTTTATTTTTGTTCAAAGCGATAAATTATGGAATAATAGACGGTTTTTATAATTACATAATATGATATAATAATTTTACAAATGATTTTGAAACATTTTATATAATTTGGCTAATCCATGCTTGAACAAGCATATCTTATAATTTATTTTCTCTAATGTGTTTTCTATGGATGTTAATGTTTTTATAGTTAGTTTGATGTTTTCAACACTCAACCTCACTAAACATATCATGTTTATAATTATTTAGATTGTTGTTGGAAGGTTAATTCAAAATTGTGGTAGAAAGTCTTAATAATCGATTAGGATTTGACATTTAATAATTGATATAATTAATGTCTAAATATATTTTATAATCAATATTGTATAGAGATAGTTTTAGATTTTTTAATTAATATAAGTTTTACATTATTATATATAGGGTGCTTCTATTAATTTCCTGTGCGGAGATAACTATATATAGAAATTCATTTGAATATGAGAAAATTATTTTCGTGCAGCCATTAGCTAATTTGAAGATATTATTAGAGAAAATATGGAAAAGTTTTTTTTTTCTTTTTTCCCCATTAATATTAGTATCAGTCACAAATATTGTTCCAAAAATATATTTATACTTAATGTGAATTTTATAAATAAGTTGAAAACTGAACATAATATTTTTCGCAAAATTTCCTCCTCAAGTTACTGGAGTTAATATCTCATATAATCACTCGATTTTGAATAGTTCGCTTAGAAGGTAATTCAATTTTGTTTTATAATTCTAAAGTCATTCAATTTAGAGTAGTTCAATTAGAAAATCATTCAACTTTATTTTATAACTCGAAAATCACTCAACTATTAATATATTTCACTTAAAAAGACATATAATCAATTTACATAATTTTTTCATTAAATTGTTGAAATAATTAAAAATGAATTTCCTATTATTTCTTAAAAATTTAATCTAAAATAAAAATTACATTTCAAACAGGTTATACTAAAAATAAACTAAGAAATATTCCATAAAATCCAACAGGTTATACAAAAAACCTCTTGCAGTATTAAAGTTTTCAAAAAGTTAAATAACAGTACAATAATAATGTTGTAGTAGTTAGTAGTAGTAAATATGCTTTTCAGATCACAAAAGTCATTTTCAATTGTTATAAAGTACTTATTACTTTCTCCGTTTCATTTTATGTTACACCATTTTACTTGACACATTATTTAAAAAAAGAGAAAGACTTCTAAAATAATTTTTAAAAATATTTATATAATTATAAATTATTTTATTAAAGATAAAAAATAGACTTTAAAATTAAATTATTTTTAATTATACTAAAATAACATTATGATATAACATAAAATGAAATAGAGAAATATTATTTTTATTTATATAAAAGAAAAAAAGAGCATAAATGACATCATGTTGATTTTAATTTAACTACTCCTTTTCGCCTTTTTCCTCTTTACATGGTTGGATATTAGCTGTCAAATAAAATCTATTTTCTTTCTAATTTTTTTTTTTTTTTGTTAAAAAATCACTCTCATAAAAACATATATAAAATGACTTTCAAAAACCCTTCCCACCTTCTACACTTGTTTTCTCTTTGTGTCCTTTCATTTCCAAAATTTTCTCTCCGATTAAAATTTTATCATTTTCCGACCATCTCTCCGGCCAAATCCTGCCGGAAAACTCTAACTTTTAAGTGACTTTTGTTCATGTAGACTTCGAAATCAAGGTATTCTACTTGTTTCCTTTTTTATTACACCTTTGTAACTTGTAGTATCAAAAAAAGAAATTATTTCAAAAAATAATATTATTTTTTTTAACAATAAGCTTGTATGATTCTTTCTATTTATTTATTAGGTGTTCTGCGGAATTAATCGAGGTGCGTACAAATTAGCCAGATACCAGAGTCATAAAAAAAAGGAGCTCGGTAATTCGATTTAGTGTTAATATTTCTTTTTGTTTTCATCTATTGAAGTTGATGATATTCTTCGAAAAAAATTTTGATTGGTTTTGTTGAATCAATTTGACGTTTTTATTAATTGGTTGTATGCTTGAGTACGTTTAATTAGCATAAGATAAGGTTGAGATTGTGAAAAAAAAATGATAATTTGTGTATGCAAATGACTGCTTTCATGTTTAATGAATGATTGTATGAATTTTTTTTGGATTTGGCCCCACCAAAAGTAGGTTTATTTGAATTAATTTTCTCATCCCTATTCACATTACAGAAAGTCTATTAATACATTAATAAAAAGGTCATCGATTAAGGCATAATAAATAAATAGACATGTTAATTTGACCTCAACTGATAGCTAAATATTCAAATTTTGAAAAAAAAACACATCTAGACATCTCAATTCTTGTCGAATGTGTCACGTCAGCATCGAGTGTTCACGACATAGGGGATGAATTGAAGTTTTTGAATGTGCATTCTCAAAGTTGGAGTGGTTAGTTTGTTAGTTGAGTCGATGTTAAAGTGTCTATCATATAATTTGCAGAATTTGTCCAACTTGTGTTTTATTCTTATTAAAATTATTCAAAATAATTGAGCTTATTATCGTTAGTTGCTGAGACAGAGCGAAGGTTCAGGGATGACATTGTATAAAAAAAAATATATGCATATAATTTATGTGATTATGTAGGCATAGATTCTGTTATTGATGATTGTATTTTTTTTAATGCATTCCTTGTTATATTCTTAGTTTGTTTTATATAATAAGCACAACATATGCATTCTTTATTCTAACATAGTTTATGCTAATATTTAGTATAAGAAGATGATGATTTAACAACTACTAAGGTATTCAAAAGTTTTCATTTGCTCTGTAATTTGCTATTTTGTTATTGTATTTTTCTTGCAATCTTGCTTCAAAAACATATCTTTTGAGCCGAAGGTTTATCGGAAATAAACTCGAATAAGGTATGCATACATCATACCATCCCAGACCCCACTTGTGGAATTGTACTGAGTATGTTTTTGTTGTTGTTGTAAGTTGTAACGTATTCAGAAAAGCTTGTCACCTATCGTTTAATTGCGATATAATACTTTTTTTTGGACATTTGAATATTTTTTAATGCTCTAGACATACCTTTGGTGTCTCTTGAATTACATGATAATACTTGGATTTGCATAAGGTTTTTTGAGTTATACATCCATACAAACTGGGAAGAAATTTGAAAGCAAGCATATTTAATTGTGTTCGCGTTGAAATGCATGTATTTTTCTTCCATGACAGTTCTTTGAACAAGGTGACATCTGAAACATACGTATGCCTATTAGTATCCTAATATCCGTTCTCTTTTCTTTTATATAGGATTGCTATTACTTGTCAGCGAATTGAAGCAATAGAAGGAAAGATGATGCAACACAAGAGAAGTCCAATTTCCCTCGAGCATAGCACCAGCCTCACATCTCTTACACCAAAACGACTAAAGGCCGATATGCCCATTTCCTCTAAGGTTTGTTTTCTTTCCTTTTTGCTGCCTGCAATGCTGTTATTGTTAGTGCACATGTTTATGCACATAGATATATTATTCATGAACTTATTATCTTGTATCGTATCGTTTATAGCTCGTGGATTTAAGAATGCTTTTTTCTTGGATACTTTTTCAACATACATGTTGTGTGTTGTACATTTCATTGAGTTAAAGATTTAACATTTTGTTTGACTTTCAGTCTTTAGGCGAAGGTTGAACTGACCAAAGAAAATTCTAAAAATACTAAATAGTTCATTCAAGTTCCCTATTTGAAGTGTCCGAATTATAGGAGGGCTTTGGTCACATTCATTTGGCTGCTCCGAGTCTCAAATTTGTTTTATTTAGAGAACTTTTTTTTTGCAACCTTTATCTCTGAGTTGTTGATATGGAGATTTTTCGCCTTTGCATTTTTCCTTAAATAGGAGAAGAAGGAGAAGTTTGGTGAACGAATAGTCGCTCTTCAACAGCTGGTGTCACCATATGGCAAGGTAATTCACTAATTCTGCAGGAATTGAGTAATGAATTTCAACTATTATTTTAAAGAGAAGGTTTAGCAAAGTTCATTCTTTGAGGTACCAAAAGGTGGAATATCTTTGAGTTCTTTTCCCGTGCATTCGAAATTATGTCCACGTAGAGCAGCTGAAATGAAATAAGCTCACTCAATTCTTACTAAACCATGGAATTTTTCATCATAAGGATAAAATCCTGATTTCTGTTTATAATTGCAGACAGATACTGCTTCTGTTCTCCTTGAAGCAATGGGATACATAAAATTCCTCCATGAACAAGTGAAGGTGTGCCTTCGACAACTTTTTTCTTTTTCTTTATCTGTAGGAACTATAATCCCGCACGACTGATTAAAGACAAGAAAGTTTGTGGTGCTTTATGAGATTTTTCTCAGGTCGGGCCACTGTTGGAGCCTGGACACGTTTTTTGGACAAAGCTATGGGTATATGTTGAAAAAAATATGAGGGTGACAGTTTGTGGTTCTTTGTTTGTTATTATTTTTTAGGATTTTCACCATAAACTTCTGTTCATAGTGCTCGTCGTACTGAATTTTATGCCTCAGAATGTTCTACGAATTTAAGTGATTGTAAGATCACGTTTCCATATTTTCTAATATCCTCTGTCTACATTCTCTGCATCTATATCTGATTGTAGAGTTTAACTTTGAGAGTTCAGATATGTTCATATGTGAATATTGTATTCTGCTTGATGATTAAGTGTGTAGAGCGTTAGTTTTGTCGTATATCTGGAAGCAAAGGTCACGGATATAAACTTTCTGGTCTTCTCTTGTTGATAGTTGTTTCTTTTCAGAAATCTGTTAGTTTGTTCCTTGTCATAGGAAATTGTTTTTTCTACGTAAATAACATAATCATGGTATTTGTGTTACTGCAGTTCATTTAGATTATGACGCCTTGGACTGATATTTCGAGTCATTTTGATCTCTGCTATGAACATGACCTCATTTCATTTCCTGGTTCTTTCAGGTGTTGAGTGCACCATACCTCGGAGGTATGCCAATGTCGAAGACACAGGTTAGATTCCATTAGCACCATTTCTTGAAATTTCTTATTCTTTATAACCGCATCAGCCCCTGAAGAGAAGAGATGTCTAAAAAGTTCAAACCTTATTTGCTACATTAATTTGGAATCTATGATCATTCATTGATGTCAATTGTGTCGTATCAATTGAACTTGGAATTCAACCTTTGTTGAAATGTAATTCATGTTTTCATGTGAAGGAATCACAGCCTTACAATTTGAGAAGCCAAGGCTTATGTCTTGTGCCAGTATCATATACCATTGGAGTGGCAAACAGCAATGGTGCTGATATTTGGGCTCCCATTAAGACCTCACAAAAGTTCTAGTCTAGACAACGACGTGTGATTTCACCATCACTTACGTCCATGGTAAGGTCTTCGATTGACAATAATACAACCAGCGTTTCAAAAAAAGCAGCCGAAAGGATGCATTTTCAACATGGAGATGCAGGTATGTGATGATTCTCCTGGCAAGGTCCACTTGATTTTTTGTGGTTCAAACGTCTAAGGAGAACGTAGAGCTTGTTCTTCTGATAAATACTAGTAGCCAGATCTAATTTAAGGGCTAATATATAAAGATTGCCTGAGTTGTGTCTAGGTTTTTAACAGAAATGTATATTGAAGAAAGAAATATTATGTAGTGAGTGATCTTTGATGCAAATGTATCAAAGATGGACTTGTATTATATGAGAAGCAATGGAAGCTCTTGAATAACTTGTTTGATTCAGAAAGACTTGATGCTATATGCCTTGTTTACTTCTGTATTGTCTTTTTCAAACTGCCCTGTCATGTGTTATTTGAGTCGAGAGTCTTTCAGAAACAATCTCTATCTTCATGAGGTAGTGGTTTGCGTACACTCTACCCTCCTCAAACCCTACTTGTAGAAATACACAAGTATGTTTTGTTGTTGTTCACTCGGAAAGACTCGAATGGTGAGCGCCTATCCCCTCTGAATTGACAAGAAACAACACAGAGCTTCAGAGAAACATGCCCCCATGTTGCAATCCTTCAAAAAGATGCGTACTCTAACGGAAGCCTTGGTCTTCCTTAACATCTCCCAAGGGGCAAAAATTTACAAGCATATTAAAAAAAATACTTTAGTATTATTATCTTCTAAACCGAGCAATACTTGTGATTTTGTTGAAATAACATTCTAAGACAAGTCATAAATTAAGATTCAAAATATAAAACATATACACAATATTGCATCTCATATGACACAAATTAAATTTCAATCAAGATGGATCAATATACTTTAAAGGGTCATCCTGAACTACAAAATAAGAAAAGATTACATATGGTCACTAGCATAAGCATAGGTGTCACAATCCAAAAATAGATGTCATGACACTCGTCTAATCCTACCAAGACTAGTCAGCCTATATCCAACAATACTAAAGAAATGTGGAATACTCGGTCATTCTCAAATACCTCCAAAATTTGGTTGTCATGTGTACACACCACTAATATATAAAACCATAGAAGATAAATACAAGTTTCAATGTCTTTGTCTCTTGAATAGAACAAAACATAAGTAAAGAACAAGAGGGTTAGTCGGAATGACAAACAAATACCTCTCAATATCCACATAAAGCCTCAGATGTAGATGTAGATAGAAGAAGAGCAATTACATAGATCCAAGTTTGGAACCTACACAAGTGTAGAAGCAATGCTTGAGTACCAAACAACACGTCAGTCATCAAGCAACCCTCTAAAACAAGGTAAAACTAGCTAGAATACGAGTACTCTTTTCATCCCAACCAAACGGCCAAATCTACAACCTGCACAGAAATCAGCCCAACCTAACAATTTACAATAGTTCACAAGGTTCAAAATCACGATTCAACAGTTACATTTCATCAAATCATAAGTGTCAAGTTCATCAATCACAAGTATCAAGGTCAACAATCATAATAATCAAGTTTATCTATCACATTCGTCGGCAATGACTTCGGCATCAATAACACTCGCCTGCAATGATCTCGACATCAATAACACTTACCGACAATGACCTCAAAATCAATAACACTCATTGGCAATGACCTAGACATAAAAAATAATCACCAACAATGGCTTCAACATGAATAATACTTGCCGGCAATGACCTCAACATGAATAACACTCGTTGATAAAGACCTATGCATCAATAACACTCACCAATAATGACCTCGGCATCAATAACACTCGCCGATAATGACCCCGATATCAATAGCACTCTCCGATAATGACCCCGACATCAATACATTATATCTCCTCACATTGTTTCATAACCAATGCAAATAGGCATGTTCACACAATAACTAAAAGATACCAATCACAAACAATTCACATCCACAACAATACTATCAAAGTATCGCATCAATCACTGAATCAATATCAACCCTCAAGGAATTCACAATGCGCAATGCACTATTATCAACACATTGTTGTTTTCATTAACCGCATTTCTATCATTCAGATTATTCAATTCGAGTAATTAACCCATCATCTCATTCTCATTACTCCCCAACACATACACGAAAGAGAGTTCAAGATTCTACAAGCTTTAACAAGGTTTAGAAGTCCACTTGCTTTTATTCAATCAAAAGTCAATCCAAGACTTGAGCTTTTTCCTTCTGAACAATGTCCAAATCAATACAATCTAGTCAAACAAGTATTCACAATGAGATTTTGGAACTTACAACGCCCATATCGAGCAATTGAATAAATGAGTCAAATTGGCTCAAAAGTTCAATTCTAAAAATAACGTTTAAATCTGAAAATTGTTACATAAATATGTTACACGAAGCATTCGAAATCCATTGGTGAAAATCATTTTGAACACGAAGTTGTATTCAACTCATAATCACCATTTTCCTTAAAACTCACATTTCTTGAAATCCTTTCAATTTGCCAATCAAGACACCCAATTTTTTAATGTTAAAATCCACAAATGATCATAGATAAATGAACGTTTGGGTTCACAAAAACTTATCCAAAAGATTCACCATAAAAAATCTCTTTAAAATCGTCTCCAATGATTTTCCAAAACTCAAAATGGGAGAAATGGGGAAGAACCCCAAAATTTTCTCACAAAACCCTCTCATGTCTCGTTTTTGCGAACCCAAGGTCGCTTACGCAATCATCGCGATTGCGACCCTAGTTCGCAAAAGTGAACCCTTAAAACTTGACCAGGCATTGCTTTCGCGAGCCGGCTTTCCCCTAAAGTGAAGGTCGTGAAAGCGACAACTTCTCATGAACGTGAAGGTCAAGCGGGAATCGACCCCTCGCGAACGCAACTCGTACCTCGCGGAAGCGAGGTTCGTGAAAGCGAATAACCTTTTGCTTATGCGAGGCACACCAGGTAACAGAACAATCAGTCAACTCTCAAATCTCCGAATGGATCCTCAGGATTCGTTCGAAACCTTGCACACAACCAAATAAGCAACATGATTAAACTCTAGGTTCTTGACTCAATGAAATCATCAAAACACGAATTCAAGGTCTCCTTGATCCGATATCCGCAAAAGTCACAAAGAGTAAACATAACACCTTAAAAGGCCAAAGCAAGCTCGAGATCTCTGAAAATTGAATCAAGATCTCCCCTAGGCCTAAAATCATCCCCCGAATTCAATAGAACTGTCAAAAATTTTATCCGAGCATCCAAACCCCAAATATTGACCAAAGTCAATCCAAAGGCTAAAATCTCAACAATTTCCAACTTAGCAACTCAAATCCACGAAAAGATTCTGAATCTGAAACCAACAAGTCTGTTAGATAAATTTCCATGTTTCGGGACTGATGAAATCGATGGAATTCTATTTTGAGACTCGAAACTCCAATGACACCAAAAACCACGTTTTAACAACTTTAGCCTTTCAAACTCAAAAACTTTCACAACACCCACTTTTTACTCAACACTTGAAAACTTATTTCACAAACCATCCAGAAATAACTCGAGGTAACCATCGGATCATTTTATCAAAAATTCTAAAAACAACCTTTCATATCATTACAATAGGTGTCCGAGAATCAGCTATTTTAGTAGTTACTCAAGCACTCGCCGAAAAATATTCTCTCAAGCTCTTGATGATGTCAAACAAGTCAAAAGGGTTTTCTTTCTCTTTAAATACTACTAAGAAAAAAAATAAAAATAAAATTTAATCCCAATTTTTTTAAAGTTAGCTTGTTCTAATTACCTCACTCGAAAAAGAATCGATGCATAGAGAAAAATCGAGAGAATCATTAACTATTACGAAAACTGATTAAAGAATTTTATGCTCTTGTTCTATTTGCTTTTATGCTCATAATCCTACAAAAATAAAAACAATACATAAATAATACAATGGAAAAATAAAATAAGATAGTAAATTTGAGTTGCCTCTCAACAAATATTTTATCTAATATTGTAACACGACATCATCACAATCATCACTTTGAGGATATGAACTGTACCCTTAATTTTACATCAATTTTTTTGCTACTCCTAGGACGGTAATGTAAAATTATAATGACCAAACAATTGATGTCGCATTTACATTTACATTTTATACATCTTCACTAGTGTACTTCAACTTCAACATCCTCAATAATATTTTTGTCGATTTTTTTTTTTTTTTTTTTTTTTTGCTCCATAAATTGGCTGCTATCCATAACAATGGATAGTTGGGCCTCAAAGGCTTCAACCTTTTTAGTCAATTGGGCCTGCATATTTTGATATTTAAAAAAAAATAAAAAAATATTACATAGTAAGGTAAACATGTAATATGCATTTACTAAACATTATAATTTGAAAGAATTATAATTCATAGCTATAGTTAAGATTTTACAATTTTTTATCTCCCTTCTCCTCTCTTTCTCTGCCCTCTCTCGCTTGTCTCTCTGTCCCCTCTCTCTCACCTCCTCCTTTCTCTCCCAATACAAATACAAATAGTAACAGTCATGATACAAATATAAATGGTAATTGTCAACTATATAAATCTTTTTTAGAGATACAAAATATAAATACACGTGACAACAGATGAATACAAATACACATGACAATAAATGTATGCTCTCTTTTAGTGATACAAAAAACAAATACACATGGTAGCAATTGCATACAAAATACACATGAATACGATGCAATTTTTTACGAAATACAACATTGATATAATTGTATTCGTTGATACAAATTGTATTTTGTTAATACACTTGAACTTGATACACATTCGATAAAATTGTATTCACTGATACAATTGTATTCATTGATACATATTGTATTTATTAATGTAATTATATTCATGGGTAGTTGATACACATACATACTAGTAGCATATATACAATTATCCAATAAATATACAATTACAATTTACATCTCTCCTCTTTCTAACATATAGTTATGAATCATAATCAAGCAACTTATAACTACGAATCCTGATTATAAATCTAGTTTTAGCTATTTTTCAAATTTTCTTATATTTAAACCCATAACTATGTGCTTATGCTGAACATTAAGATTCTCACTTGAAATATAAAATACATGACGAAGCTAATCATATCAACTACAAAACATTAGAAGACGTGGGAGTGTGTATAATCAATAATTAGTTGGTATTATTTTGATTTCTTTTATCTTTTGTTTCTTTAGTTCTTATTTTTATTTTTATTTGAATATAAGGAAAAAAATAACTAAAAGTAAAAAACATACGTCTTAAAATTCTTTTTTCTTTTACTATTTCTTTAGAAAAGAAATTGACAATGAAAAATGTAGTTCATC